GAATGAGAACAGGCCCCATCTAGGGAAGTTCTAGAGTATAATAGTGTAGCATTGTAAAATTATATGTTTAATAATAGGAATGAGGACAGGCCCCATGTAGGGAAGTTCTAGTTTATAATAGTGTATAAGCATTGTAGAATTACATATTTGAAAATAGGAATGAATGAAGGTAGGTAGGTAACCCCCAGGGGACTAATTTTTTAAATTGTCTTCTCGTGTTCTTTTGTATCTTGGATCATTTGATGTATCCATCTCTCTCAACATAGGATATATTTTCTTAGTTGGAGGGGAAAACATAGACAAAATAAATAAACAAGTGCCTCTACTTAGAGATGATGGTTGTGTCAGCTTTTTTCCTTTCGTTCGTTTATCGTTCATAAACTAACCATTTCATTCGTTTTTTCAATTCTTTGAAAAAATGATTTTGTTCATTTTCCATTTGCTTTGCTTATTTCCTCCCTAAACCTATTTTTTTTCAGTCGTTTGTTCAGTAAAGGTTGTTTGTTCGGTAAAAGACCATTCAAAAGATTTTAAATCATTGATTTCTGTCCTTCGTTTTATAAAACGATATTTTTTTATTTTGCTGAACAATCCAAGATAGGCGCTCATTGTCGTGTTTTATTTTCTAGGCAGCACGATTGTTTATAAAAAATTTTGTTCGTTCAGAAAAGAAATGACCATCTCTATCGGAACTCCTTCACACAATTAAGGACCATCTCTATCTGAACTCGTTCACAAAATTGATGAACATCCCTATCTGAACTCATTCACAAGATTGATGACCATCACTATCTAAACTCGTTCACAAAATTGATGACTATCTCTATCTGAACTCATTCACAAAATTGATGACCATCTCTATCCGAACCCTTATTCTGTCTAATTTCTAGTGAGATATATATGTACTGAGATAATAGGAAAAATATAGAGATATATACACTAAAAAATACTGGTGCGTGGTTCTTTTGCGACGAAAGCCAGATTCGTAAGTATATTTGTCTGTTAACATAAAGAAAGGTTTTATAAAGGGATTTAGAGTATATATTCAAAGATAATAAATAAAGTACATGGAAATACCTTATTAATTGAAAACAAGTATATAGTGTTGATCGTAAACTCTCCATTTAGATTATGTGTACTGCTTGTCAGTCTCTTTCTTATTTCTACACAACAAAACTACAAGATATTCTTTAACCATAGAGAATAGAATATATAGAGAGGAATTAAAAGAATCTCTCGGTATGAATTTGTTCAGTCCCTTTCAGCCTGAAAGGGAGTTCAAAGTGTACAAATCATGTAAATGTTCACAAATTATATGCAGTAGAGTACATAAATACAGTATGTTCCTTAGACTATTCATTTCAATTTCGAAATTTTTAAAGCTGTTAAATAAACTTTGTAATGAATTAGGTGAATAAAAACATCATTTGATTTATAGTTATACCGGAAAATCATCGTTTGTACAGTGGAAGGCATAGAGTCTATGTGAAATGATCATTGGTCAATTATGAAACCAGCCTATTTAATAATTTGGTTTTCTTTTAAAAATATTTTTTGATTTTCTATAAAATGATATTCCAGGGCCCAACAGGTTATATAGCTTAAATTTGTGAAGTACACCTGCAGTATGGAAACAGTACAACAAAATGGCCGTTTTACACTTTTTTCTAGTAAATTCCTCTCTATATATTCTATTCTCTATGTCTTTAACAGATCTGAGCTGGGAACTTCACAATGAATAACCTTTAATCCTAACTACTTAATCCGTATATCCACTGTGGAAACTTTTAATTTTAGTCCTTAATCCACTCTTTTCTCTCTCTTTGGATATCCGTACATTGTTTTCTCCAATATAAGTGGAGGAATATAGTTAGTAAATTGTATTGACCAATGACAGCCTTGAAAATAAATGTCTAACAAATAAAGAATTTGTTGTCGGCCACATTTTGTAAATTAATCGGTGAAGAAAAATATTTAATAACAGGGTTGAGATTCTTTTGTAACCAATTTTAACTAATGTATTAATAAATAAATGGGTGAGAAATTAAGTGAAAGTTAAGAAAACCAACAAATCTGGCGTTCTTAGAATCCAATTTGTTGATCTAACTATTTAATCTCAAGACTAACATAATCTTGAGATTATGTTGGTCTCGAGATTAGCAAACACAGAGGATTAAGCATTAATCCTGATATCCACCATTCTAATGTTCCCAGCTTAGGTTCACTAAAAAGCTAGCAATCCCTTTAACATATGTATATGGCGTGCTATTTTGTTTTATGACGCTAGATTTTCTATAGCTTCCAATGTTGAACAACATTTTCACTTTTGTTTTGTTTGGGTGTTTGTATAGTTTTGTAGGGTTTCGTGAGAAAAACATATTGTTCCAATAATTTTACGTATGTAACTAAATTAATTAATTAATATGTTCCTTGAGTGTGCGTTCTTGTACAAACATTGTCAAAACAAAACTCAAAGAAAGGCTTGATCTTGATATAAAATGTGGCCACTTTTCAATGTGTGGATCAATACTTGATCCTTTTATTTTAGTTTTCCCAGCACACGGATATTGAAGAGGATTATAATTAATCTGTAGGTCAGCATAAGATGAAGATCAATGCAGATTGATCCTGAGATTCACAACGCAAAAGTTGTGTCTTCAAAATGTTTAAGAAATAGCTCATGAATTTTCATATTTTACATTCAGTTTGTATTTTTGTAAGTGTAGGCAATTTTCTAAAGGCTTTCCGCAATTTCAATATTATGAATAAAATGTTTGAATCTCTTCCAACAGTTTACCCTTAAAAAAAAGATTTAAATTGTTTACCTAGGTATGGCTCTTTTAATTTTATTCTTTTATTTAATCTTGACCTCAGAGTAGATAAATCAATTTTAGGTTCAATTAGCTATTTATAGCACTGGTTAAAAAAAATATTTCAGCCTTTTTTCTTTATTATCATACCAAGAATATAAAAATTATTTTAATTTAAATTTAAAAAATAACAACTAAAAGTTGATAAATCAGATATTTCTAGAATAGCTTGCTTTTATTCATTAGTCTTCACCTTAGAGAAGATAAATCAATTATTCGTTGCAGTCTTTGGAAGGAACTTTTATAGGCAATTGTAGTTCTACTCTGGTTGAGTTAGCTTATTTTTCTCCTAGAAGACTTCAGTACCCTTATTTTGTAATAAATGTTACAACTTAACAATTTTGTTCACCTAGAAATCGTCATTTTTGCTACATGACATTGTTTTTTATTAATGAAAAACAACCCTCATGACATTCACATTCTAAGAATTAAGTACTTGGCCCTCTGACACGTTTCATGCTACGAGAAGGACCAAGTTTTATCACTAGGTGAAATGAAAAGGGCACAGTGGACTGTGGTCAATTTGAATTGGATCCTTGTACTGACCTTAGTAACGCATGACATGTACGGGCCCGACCCTATTCTATGTTTGCACGGCTTTAACCTTCATGGCGCTTCCAGACTTTTTTACAGTACCAGAGCTGAACACTTTAGAATTGTGGATATCGAGAAATTAATGCCTGATTATAATAATCTGGAGATTAACAAAAGTGTCTAGAATTCTGCCAATCAGAGTGTACCAAAAAAGAGGATTAAGAAAATCATTAGTTTCCACAGTGGATATAAGATCAGGATAAGGCTATCCAATTCTAAAGTTTTAAGCTCAGGCATATCATAGACCTATATATGAATCTATCCCACTAGCTTAGTTTAGTGTGATGGAACTTTTTCACATCTAGAAAAAAGTCATATTGCATTTATGAATGACGCATTCCAGAAATGACAAATGGAAAAATAGCGCTAACAAAAATTGACAGGAGCGAAATGTTTCAGCCCTTATACTTTTTTTAATTAAACTGCAATCATGTTTTTGAATACACATTTATTGAATGAAAAGAATAAAAAATAAAAAATTATTGTCTATAATAACCACAGCAGTTTCTTCATGGTTTACACAACATATTAAATCTTCACACTATATGTTACATGTTACATGATTTCACAACAAGTAAGGATATGTTCACAAACTATTAGAATATGTTCACAAACTATTAGAATATGTTCACAAACTATTAGAATATGTTCACAAACTGCTAGAATATTTTTGCAACATGAAAAATGTGTGAGTTAAAGTCAGATTTACAGTTTTCCACCTTGTTTCCTTGGTTTTCGTAAAACTTTTGAACTCAGAGAGATTTATTAAGTTGATAAAATTAATTAAAGTTCCGAACACAAGCTTTTAAAGATTTTCCGTAAGACTATTTTAAGATTTCCAAAAATTAGAAAATACGCGAAAAAAGTATTTTTAAAACAAATATATTCATAATTATGAGCCTTGCGTTAATGTGTTCTGATAAATAAACATATATTTATTTAGTAATTTTTTTAATCACCAGGTTTTAAAAATGTGAAAAGAAATTTAAATAGTGTTTCTTTTTGTGGAAGCATTTTAAATATAAATATCGAAAGTTGTGAAAATCATGAAAAGTGTTTGTAAAATTTGATATCAATTTTTTGATATTGCTAACTATTTCTTGCATGCTATATTTTTATATTGTTATTATATTAAGTGTATAAATCATAATAATAGTAAAAAATGTAAAAAAACTAGTTGACGTAAAAACGATATCTTAAAAAAATCTGACAAATAAAAGTAATTATAAAACATCAAAAGTTGTAAAAAGATTTAAATAAACCAATATTTGTTCTTGTATAGCTGCTCATTTTTTCTATAATTAATCACAAATATTTTTTATCAATTATAGCTATTTTAGCATTGATTTGTTTGTATGCTTGAAAAAGTCAACTTATCATTACAAAAGCAACTTCTGTGATATTGGAAAAAAAAATGTAAAAATTTTAGATTTGAACTTTATAGTAGTCGCTGCAGTTTCAGAAGAAATAAGTTTATCATTTATGATATTATTAGCAATGATATGTAAATTTTCTCTCTTTGTACAGTTGTACATATTATGTACGTATAATATATTATATACAACTAATTACATGGAATGTTTTTGTATACCTGTAGTTTAACAAACAATTTTATTCTTTCAATATAAGAAAAAAATCCCTTATTTGTAAAGAGCATATAAAAAAAAACTTTTTAATTTTGAACAGAATTTTTAAACATTACAAAAACGGTTACAAAATCTAATATTCTGTTAGTATTTATGAACAATTTTTGTAATTCAGAATAAGAAATTCTTTCGGAAAGCTCTCGAACAAAGTTAGGGTTTTTAAATACACTGAAGGACTCAATTGGACGCTTTCTCATCCCTGGCAAGACCACAGGCGTCACATGTTGTTAATTCATGCATTTCTTCAAGATTTCCGCCATTACATCAGCTGATCTATATTTTGGCGCAATTCTGGGAAATTGCCCTAAATAAATGTACAGTGTACACTGTACATAAGCCTAGACTACTTGACTGTGGGAGTCGGAACCTTCCTCTAAACCTGGGTCATCACAAAATTCAAACTTTATATGTAAAGTTTTACAACCAAAAAACTAAAAAGAAAACCTGAAGGTAAAACTATATACTTTTCACGTTTTTTTTATATTTATTTGTTTTGTTTCAGAATTTTCGAAAAATTAAAGTTTAAAATTTTTTCCTAGATTACACTTTCCACCGGGTGCACAGTCCTCAGACGGTAACCTGCAATAGAATTCAATCATAAGCTTTTTTTATCTGACTATTTTTTCTTTTGTAATGTTTTATGGTTTTAATTCTAGAAAGTTTGTATCTTAATTTTTTGTTTCGCTACTAAGAACTACAGAAAATTTTAGCGACTTGCGCATTTCTTGCTCATAAGAATCAATAGATAAACACAGAATAAAAAACTTCTTAAGTTAGAAAAACGACAGTATCCTGAGCAATTTTTATAAGATTAATATTTTAAGGGTATCATTGTAAATCAGACATTACCATCTAAGTATAGAGGGACAATTAAATTTACACTTACAGTCCCTTTCAAGGTCAGATCCCAGATTATTTTTCTTTTGACATATTTTAAGAAATTAGTAGCAAAATTATATTTGATATTTGAACTTTAAGAAAATATTCTTTCTCAACTAAATAACAAGAATTGTCAAATTCCGAAACCTTTGTTCATAGAAATTGTAAGAGTAAATAATTAGCTCTGAAATGTGCGATAACAGTTTTCAAGAGTTCCAAATAATTATTCAATACAAAAACTATATATCTGCTGCATACAATTATCTGTTAAACTTCATTTATTAAGTAAAATTGGTCTGTTTGCACTGCACAATTGCTGTGTCTAATGTTCATTAGAGTATTTAAAACTTTAACTTTGGTGCAAAAGTCGTCTTCCTATTACAGAGTTTAATGATTCTCACTGTAGATAAAAATTACTCAAATTGTAACGGTTCTTTCACAAAATAAATATCTGAAATAGCAAATAAGATAGCTCTTTATAGTTTAATGTTATTAAGAGCCAAGCTGTTTTATCCGCAATAGAGACAGCAACTGGGCATAAATCTAGATTTATAGGAGTAAAGGGTGAGATTGGCATTACAAAGATGCAAGTTGAAGGTTTAGAATATTGAAAGATGATAAGGTCAGTTCCCTAAAAAGTGGCCTGTTATGCAAAATCGCATCAATTTTCAAGAATTTGTCGACTTTACAGTGTCACATCCGCAACGCTTTTGAGTTTACATCCCTAGCTCAGTATAACTTTTTGTAGCTTTAGAAAAGTACATTTTACAATCAAAAAAGTTATTATTTTTAGCTTTAGTTTTATAAACGTTTCTTGGCTATATTTTTTTTAATTTTTATTCTTGAGAGCGCGCGGAAACCTTTGTATCACTGTTTGTCTCTTAAATCAAAAGATTGCAATTCAATCTTTTTTATAGTGTAATTCAATTCAATTAAATCTTGCTTTAAAAGCACACTTGTATTTTCCACAAAGGATGCAAATTCTGTGCAACTTTAGTCATCAAAGTTAAAGTTTTCTAAACTTAAAATTAACTTTGTAATGAAACTAATTAGTTTACTTAAAGGAAAACGTGAAAATCTAATTGATACCTGATCAGACAAAGCTTTTATGGATAATTTTGTTAATTTGACATGCCATACTGTATCATTTGAGTAAATTTTAAAACATTTTTTGAATATCATGTCTAGAAATAAAATATTAAAGCAAGCTACCTCTTAGTCTGTCTGTTGTTTGATGAGTTTAGTCGTCTTCCATATGCAACAGCTGAGTTTACAGCTGATGACTGCGTAGAATTGTACGGATGGCTTTCCTCAGACAACTGCGTAGACACAGTCTGAAGGCTCAGTCCAGTTCTGAGCACTGCCGGGGACATATCTGTTGTCATGTGTCCACCATTTTCAGGAGATATCTTAGATTTGTTTTTTTCTTTCACCATTTTTATTCCAACGTCACATTTTCCCTAGAAATTCATTATAAAAAAAATAAAATATTGTTTTTAATCTTCTTCACACTTACATTTTTTACATTTTGTTTAAAATTCTAAGAAAGTACGTAAATGCTTACAGCATGGTTTTATATAACGATCAAATTGTTTCTTTTAGAGTGTATTTTGAATTTGACTCAAAAAGTCCTACAAATTAGAAGTGTATCAATACTAGAAGTGTATAAATACATTATTTTGCAATGGCTTAAAATAAAGTTAAACACAATGACTAATGTTTCTCTTCATTCCTTGTAATTATTAATATCCAAAATTACAAAATTTAAACATTTTTCAAAAACTTTAAAATCATTATTTTGATTTTACCTGGTTTACAGTGTAAATTGCAGGGAAGATGTTTTTCAGGATTTTTCTCTTCTTACTAAACATAATTATTACATTATTAAAAACAGTATTACAATGTTATCGTAATGTCTCTTTATTTACTTAAATTTTCTATGAGAAATTTTTTGAAATACAAATAGAAAATTTTTAGTCAAAATAAACTTAAAAAATTGTTTAGGTGTTCTAACAATGGATTTCATTGAACAACATGCTCTCTTTTGGTCATGTAAAAATACGCAATTGGGCTCCCTCCTATGGACCACTAGATCCATTCTGTGGAAAGTTGTTAATGCAGACAGTGTGTGCCAAACATATGATATTACTTCAAAATATACATCTGAATTGATTGATTGTCAAGAAATTGTCAAATAAGTAAATTCCTTCTGGGCTACGTGGGCAAGCATTCTGCGTCAACTTTGTATCCTGTATAGGGTACATGCGCAGGTGGTTGGCATCAACCCTGTATGGCGTGAAGTTTGTCCATGATTAAGGGTTTACTGTGGAATAAAAAAACGGGATTTGTGCAGAATGATGCAAGTTCTGCAAGATAAATACTCAAATTCCGCAAAATAAAATAGGTAAATATTCTATGAAATTTTTTTATACAATTTATTTTTAAATTAAAAATTTTTAACACAATTTTAAAAAGAGCAGTGAGTTTCTTTCTCTGACTTGTATCTTCTTTTTAGCTGATCTACAGTTTTCAGTTTTCCCAGGAATACTGACTCTACTGATTGAAGGTTAAGGTTCAAAAATAAATTCATAATTCAATATTCTTACAGGTTGGAGAAGAAAAAAATTCACTGCACTAAGCCGGGTTCAAAAATTCGGAGGATGTTGATGTCGGAATTCCACCTTAATAATGACAGTCGGAATAAGAAAGTTTAAGAAAGGAGTGAATATTTTCATCAAAAGAATTTTGGTTCTTGTAAGCTCCTCTCAGACACAGTGCTTCAGAATACAGCCTCGTCTACATCAATCTTTTCCTTGCAGCCAGCAGAGTATAAACTGGTATCCTACTGCATGGTGCACACCCATCAGGATTCTAATCCAAGGTTTACAGAGTTCCTGTCTCTTCTGGCAAGAGAGTGGGGGAAGAGAAGCTGTGAGAAACCACTTCTTCTCTGCACAATTATTTTCTTTTTCCAGGTAGGGTGTACTATCATGTTATTCCACACAGGGTTCTGTTTAGCCACAGGAAACTGAAGAGTGTTGTTTAAGAACCTAACTGTTCCGAGCTTCCTTGATGGTTAAACATAGACCAGATTCGATCGAAAGAATTTACGTCTTTCCGACGAGTTCGGATACTCAATAGCAGCTAACCAGACTTGTTAAAAAGGAGTATATTTAAAGCTACCAGTAGCAAAATCTGGTTCCAGCTAGGTAAAAAACTAGTATTCTCCAGGTTAATACAGCTTTAAAAGATTAATGCAGGCCTTCAATGTTTCTTGCAGTTCCGTTTATTTCTTTTCAATTAAAGTTTTTCTAGTTTGCCATTTTCTCTTTCTCTCTCACCCTGTATCTCTGAGTACTCTTAGAAGCGCCGAGCCAGAGCCAGTTGTTATTCCTCTGAAAGCTAGATGTACACTGATATTCTATGAAATAATGTGTAAAAAAATTGCTGAAATTGCAAGGAAAATTTGACGAAAATTACAAGAAAAAACTGCAAGCGGTAAAGAGTTGAGAAATTCATTATATTATAAAAAAATTTAAATGCTGGATGATAACTATATTATCAAAGATTTTCACATTGTAAAAGTTTTTTATGTAATATTTTTGAAGTTGAAAATCTTGTTTTGCGTGGATTTGTTGTGGGCAAAATTGTGCATCCTTTCAATCTTTGCGCATCCTTTCAACCTTTGCGCATCCTTTCAATCTTTGCGCATCCTTTCAATCTTTGCGCATCCTTTCAATCTTTGCGCTTGCTTCCCAAATTCTTTTACGCTATAAAGATTGAAGTGGTTTGCTGGAAACCCAATCCATTTTTAAAACTGTACCTTAGCTTGAAGTATACGAGTAAGCATAGGAACAGAAGAACAATGCTGGTTAAACCAATAGATATTGCAACAAGAACTAAAACAAAATGGAGGTTACATTGGGGACTAGAATGGAGATTGCAACATGATTTAGTACAAATTGGAACTTGGTTACATAGATACTTGAATGGAGGTGCAATAAAAACTAAAACAAATCGGGGACTAGAAAAATTGAGATTATTACAAGAATAAGAACAAAATGAAGTATAACTAGAAACTGGAATGGAGATTGTAACAAGAACAAGAACAAAATGGAGGTTAACTTTGATACTTGGAGGAGACTATAAAAAGAAAAAGAACAAAATGGAGGTTAACTTGGATACTTAAAGGAGACTATAACAAGAACAAGAACAAAATGGAGGTTAACTTGGATACTTAAAGGAGACTATAACAACAAGAAGAACAAAATGGAGGTTAACTTGGATACTTAAATGGAGATTTTAACTAGAACAAGAACAAAATTGAGGTTAACTTGGATACTTAAATGGAGATTTTAACTAGAACAAGAACAAAATGGAGCTTAACTATGATACTTAAAGGAGACTATAACAAGAAAAGGAACAAAATGGAGGTTAACTTGGATACTTAAAGGAGACTATAACAAGAACAAGAACAAAATGGAGGTTAACTTGGATACTTAAATGGAGATTTTAACTAGAACAAGAACAAAATGGAGGTTAACTTGGATATATTAAAGGAGATTATTACAAAAGCTAGAACAAAATGGAGGTATAAGGAGATTATAACAAGAACTAGAACAAAATGAAGGTATATTTAAATACTTAGAGGAGACTATAACAAGAACAAGAGCAAAATGGAGGTTAACTTGGATCCTGAAAGGAGACTGTAACAAGAACTAGAACAAAATGGAGGTTAACTTGGATACTTAAAGGAGACTATAACTAGAACAAGAACAAAATGGAGGTTAACTTGGATACTTAAAGGAGACTATTACAAGAACTAGAACAAAATGGAGGTATAAGGAGACTATAAGAAGAACTAGAACAAAATGGAGGTATAAGGAGACAATAAAAAGAACTAGAACAAAATGGAGGTATATTTGAACACTTAGAGGAGACTATAACAGGAACAAGAACAAAATGAATGTATAAAAGTATTGTATGTACCTGTAAGGGTGTATAAAAATATTGTATGTACCTGTAAGGGTGTATAAAAGTATTGTATGTACCTGTAAGGGTGTATAAAAGTATTCTATGTACCTGTAAGGGTGTATAAATCATCTTTTGCTATCTGTTCTCTAAAAAGCATACTTTGGAGAAATCCTTCACATTTTTGATGACACTCGCTAAAGTTATCTAAAAAAACATTTTTAAAAACATTGAAAAACCATATAAAAGTTTTTCAATGACACCCACAAAAAAGGTAAAATTAGCTCAAAGAAAACTTTTAAAAATTAAAGATGCTTCAATTTTCTAACATTTGATACAAGATTGCTTATTACACAAGTGCAGGGTTTAAAAATTTGCAATTATTTTCAACTAAAAAACAATACTTTTTGTTGATTTGAAAAAAAATGTCAAATAAAATTTTTATGAAAATATATATAAATTTAAGTTGNTAAATAAGACAAAAGTATCCCAACCGGGATAGTATTAAACTGTAAAACTAGAGAAAATCTTACAATTTAAAAGTGCAAGGAATAAAACAAATCCTTTAATCTTTTGGATATTATATACGTAGTTTAAATTCTTTCAGACTTCTAAAGGTGATTTTATCATTCATATTTTATGCTTTATATTTTCGGTAATTCTATTCAACCCCAAACTAAAAGGATTTAAATGAATCCAGATTTAGCTATTTTTGAAACTGTGCAATTTTAAATATATCTTATTAAGACGGGGAAAGGGATTAATTAGTGTGTACTTTTCCTTTGGTCTCCATAACCATACTAACATTCTTTGAAAATGGAATCTTTAGTTTATTATGCAAGTAATGTAGGCATATATGCCACGTAAAATTCCAAAGCAGAGAGAGGGGGATTGAATTTTGTAGATCCAGAAAAATAATATCTGTGGTATGCCTGCGTAGAGACTGGTAGCTGGTGATGTCTTAAATGTAAGACATGTTGCCGCAGCGCTCGCCCCCTAGCCTGTCCTAGCGGCAGCGCTCGGCCCAGAAAGTGTCATAACTTAACCTAACCCATGGCCACAGCGCTCGGCCCCCTAGCCTGTACTAGCCTCAGCGCTCAGCCCAGAAAGTGTATTAACCTAACCTAACCCTAAATAAATACTAATTTAATTATTTTTCTGAAGCCGGAGATATCTTATATATATGAACGCTGCAATACAAAGTTTTTTTCATATTAGTTAGTTGTGAACCTAAGATTGTAGAAAATTTTCCTGTACAATTGAATCTATTGGTACATAATACTACATTATAAAGATACAACTGCATATGAACCTGGAGATACTATAAAATATCTGTATGAAAACCTGAGCCCAAAACTTAAGACAGGGTATCGTTATGAAAACCAGTTTTGAAACCCGGGTTTCAAGAATGGGGTTAATAGGCAGTTTTGTGGATATCAATATTTTTGTTGTGAAATATTATTTTATTAAGTTTCTTCATATTCTTCATTTTTTAAAATTTCTTAAATCAAAATCTACACAATTGCCAAGACCCCAAAAAGGAAACTCGGGAGTTTCGTTCAACGATACTCTTTTAAATTTCGGGCTCTGGAGAGATGATCATTTCTGTGTAATATACTATAGTTTATTGTGTACATATATTATCACCCAAGTAACATACTCACATATAAGATTCCATAAAATAAAAACCGAATAATACTACTATCCTTGTGCAGGAGTTAACTGTCAATCAGAGAGATACGCAACCACAGCACAAGATCACGAAAGAAGCAAAGATTTCTACAAAAGCTTACTTTTTTCGACTATATTTTGGAAAAAAATTATCGTTCAGCATCGTCTTCAGTCTATGGCGACGAATGCATCGTAAAGAAAGGTTTATTAAACGCAATCGAGCGGAAAAAAAATTAAGAAAACTTCCATGCTTCATTTTAAACTGTTTTAAACCGATATGTTTCTCTTAAGCTCTCCAGGCACCTTTCACCAAAAGAACTTTCACCAAGATATATGTTGGAAGTCTAAAAATGGCGTCTTCACTTTGTAATTATCTAATTAACATATTCTCGAACCCAATTGCTAATCGCTATTTAATACAGCACAAAATAAGTGTATCTGATTTTCCGTATCCTAAACAATGTGATATATAGTATATATTATGTAACAATATTGTGAAACTATAACCAACGGAAAATAAAAAAAATATTTAGTTTTAAAAATTATTTTTCTGGATCTACAAAATTCAAACCCCCTCTCTCTGTTTTGGAATTATACGTGGCATGTGCGCACAACAGAAAATGGCAAATACCAACATTTTACCTTTACAAAGCTGGGAGCAGGGTTGACAACGGGATAGAAATGTACCACAGTACGAATATAGATCTGTACAATTGTACTGCACTTTACCTTTACAAAGCTGGGAGCAGGATTGACAACGGGATAGAAATGTATCACAGTACGAATATAGATCTGTACAATTGTACTACCCTTTACCTTTACAAAGCTGGGAGCAGGGTTGACAACGGGATAGAAATGTATCACAGTACGAATATAGATCTGTACAATAGTACTGCACTTTACCTTTACAAAGCTGGGAGCAGGGTTGACAACGGGATAGAAATGTATCACAGTACGAATATAGATCTGTACAATAGTACTGCACTTTACCTTTACAAAGCTGGGAGCAGGATTGACAACGGGATAGAAATGTATCACAGTACGTATATAGATCTGTACAGGGTAGATCAGAACTACATGTTACCAGATCAGCCTCTGCAGGAACCATCTATAAAAGGATCTGATCAGAACAGTGGAAGATATCATCTCTATTCTGCTTGAAAAGGGGTTTTAACAATTTACTCTTTGGTTGCTTGTACAGAAATGCTAAAGTTATGGAGAAACCATAATTAAAAATAATCAATTTTTTGGTTTTTGGAATTGAAAAAATTTGAGTTTTTAAATAAACGAAGTAAACAAAATAGAACGATTAAAACCGTTTGTAGAAATTTGAAAAAAACTATTGTTTTTTTACTGAACAAACGAATTTTCAGAAAGTTTTGGAACACACTTTAATTTTTTTTTACCGAACAACGATTTTTATGAACGAATGACTTTACTGAACGAGCATTCAGTGAGAGAAGACTCGTTTTAAGTCAATATAAAAAATATTCAATTAGAAGAAAAAATAAAATTCTTGACAGAAATAAAACCGTTAGAGCTTTTCAAGAAGAAAATTTAAAGTTATCATATTTCAATTTCATTGTGTTAGCCATTATATACTAATACATGAAAACTTTTGACATTTAAGTTAGCAACAAAATCACGTTTTAGTTTTTAAACTTTTACATACAAAGACGACGTTCTCCACGGCAATCAATTAATCATTACGCAATTTTGGTTCGTAGATTCAACTCCGCGTTCGATATAAATAAAATATACAATCTCACTTTTTTCCTTTTTGACTCTTTAAAATTGATTATTTCAGCTATTTTGTTGCTTTTAGAGGAACTTCACCATATTTCTGTCAACAGTTAAGCTGAAAAATTGTAGACCACATTTTGGAAATCCCATAATTAGAAGTTTTTGGTGATAAATTTCATAACTGGGATACTTCTAAAAGTGAACTTACGAAATAATTCCGTGTTTATTTTGACAACCCGGTGTAAGAAATCATTTTGTACTGAACATTTGGCAATATTACATTTTTGAAAAAAAGAAAAAAATTTGGAATCTTTGAGTCTTTTATATTTTCCTATTTTGGCGCACAAATAAAACTTCTTGATTTTACAGTAAAAAATACTTGATCCTTATAAGATCTTTCTTAAAAAATTTTCACTAAGAAAATCAAAATTTTAATAAAAATGACGTCATCACCAGACATGAGACAATATTACATTTTATCAAAAAATAAGTAACATAGTTTTCATTTTCCATGTAATCAAATATCCAATAAAGAAAAAAACTCACTTTTTTCTTTCTGAGTGTTTTCTTCACATTTTTATCTGAAAAAAAATATATTATTTCACTTAAATTGACATAACGATCAAACTCCAATCTAATTTATTGACTGAAATATTTGTTTAAAGTAAAAATGTATAAAAATTACAAAATTCTGAAAAAGTCAAATTTGTATTTTGAAAGAAAAAAGCATCAAAAATTGATATGATCAATTATATATTCTGAAATAAATATAATTTAAGACAATATTTTGAGCCAGGTCTAGAATCTAGAGGCGGTTCATCCACGTATCTTAAATCAGTGATTCAGGATTTGTACATATCCAATAGAAAATAACTACAATGCAAAACTGCAGATAAGTATTTGAATCGATGGAAATATAGATCAGTGACCTAGATCAAATTAATTAAATTCGGCCCCTGATTACGTATAAAACATTATGATTTGCACGTTATACATATCTAAATTAATAGATTAAAACAAAACAAGAAATGAATGAACATTATTTTAAAGATGAAAATAGACGTCTTTCTGGTCCATTTTTTTTTACAAGTTTACAAGTCTACATTAATTAGAAAACGTAATTTTGCCCGATTCACAATGGTACAATAACCATCATATCATCTCACAATCAATATGGAATATAGTGTTGACGTTTTTATAACAAAAATTGTTGAATTCTATCAATTCTTTTTTGTCTCTTTTCTGCAAATACACGCTGCAGGTAGCCTTGTAAAGAAACATCATTTTAAAAAAAATCAAATTTACGATAAAAAATTCAAGCGTATCTCATTCATCTTTAACCATGTGGTTTAGAGGATTTGTAACCTCGTTGATTTGTATAGAATATGCAACTTTCTAAAAAATTGTTTTTGTAAAATGTTAAAGGTCCTTTTAAAGGGACATAAGGACAATTTCAAGTCTGATCAAGTATGAATTAGAACTGTTTTTTAAAGCTGTTTATTTTGATTTGTGGGTTCTGTGCAAAAGTTACTTGCGCATTTCTTGCTTATTAAAAATACTGGGAACATTGACAGAAATAAACACGACGTTATCTTCTACATTTGTAATCAGAATAAGGATTTAAGGAATCCGTTGTAAATCGGGCATTGCCATCTTTACATGGAGGGTCACAGTTACTCTTACGCTTCCTTTAAAGAACTATATTGTTTAAATTTGAAGTATAGATCAAGGAAGTAATGCAAGGAAAGTTATTTCAAAAGTGTACGCATCATTTGTACTGCAGTGTACTGTCTCTTGGCAGTAATGTAAACACAAGACGGATGTTACAGCCTGACATGTGATCCATCTTTCACATAAAAAAAATCAATGAAATATTCTGGTCATAGGAAACTATTATGTGAATTATCAAAATTATCAAATTTACTGCTTTTAACCTCCTCGGATACTAAACGAACACTGATGCATCTATTCTTGTTTACAAATTCCGCCCAAAGAGAACTGGTTTCAATATGTACGAAGAGTATACACAACCGAAATTAACTTTCCTTGCATTACACCCTTGGTATAGATACTAAACTAAGTTTACGCAAGGAATCCCAGGCCTGCGTAAATGAATCAGGTAGAAGCTAAAGAAAGGTGGTTTATACAGAGCTAGAGTAACCATGGTGTAGGGATTCGATTCAACAATAACAAAACAAGAAAATTATTATTCTAAAAAATGTTCGAATTCCTAAAAAATGTGAACAATACAAAAAACCATTCAAAAATAATTAAACAAATTTCATATTATTACCTTATTTCAAACAAAAGAAAACCTTAAAAAATAATAATTTAAATATTTTTTTTGTGAAGAATTTTCATTCTTGCACAGGTGTGTGAGTCATGCATATTCCAGGCCTTGATTTTCAGGTATTTGTGCCTACTGCCTAGATACCTGTGTTCACTGTACACTTGATATATATCTATCTATCTATCCATCTATCTATCTATCTATCTATCTATCTATCTATCTATCTATCTATCTATCTATCTATCTATCTATCTATCTATCTATCTATCTATCTATCTATCTATCTATCTATCTATCTATCTATCTATCTATCTATCTATCTATCTATCTATCTATCTATCTATCTATCTATCTATCTATCTATCTATCTATCTATCTATCTATCTATCTATCTATCTTTCTTTCTATCTACCTGTTTATCTATCTATCTATTTATCTATCCATCTATCTATCTTTCTATATATCTATCTATATATCTTTCTTTAAAGGAGAGACCGACAATGTAACATATTTTAAGTGAGAGTGCAGTATTGTAGAGGAAAACTTTAGGATTTATTTGATACCAATCAGACATTTTAAATAAGAGCGTTAAGCCGTTTGTAATATTTCACCAGTTGTTTCAGCCAGCAGAAGAAACGTTGTTTACAATTGTTTATTAACACGGGCAAAATATGTAAAATAATTAAATTATAAACTAATTTTCTATTTGAAAACATATTTTAAAAGAAGTTATCGATGAAAGCCAAACTAGAACCGTATGATCGAAAATTTCATAACCATTATTAACTTTACTTTTTTAATATTGTTTCGCAGATTCATTTAACTGTCGTCTTCACAAACCTCCAACAAGCGACCCTAGCTGAAAGAATTTGCATAAGCGATGATAAACCTTCGAGATTTTAAAATGAATTTTAATAACTTATTTCCAATGATAGAAGTAAATTATATTTCTCAACCTATTCTAATAAATATAATCTTACTTTATCTTTGTACCTTGATATATGCAAATCTATAAAGTACAATGATCTGACTGTCGGTCAGTTTAATTCTACCTGTATCAATACACAAGGTGTCCCACGAAACATGACAGTTGGCGAATAGTTAAAATGTCTTCTTCCATAATATGTCAAGTTGTTTGTTACCAAAGAGAATAATAATAAATATTTTATGGCATCTATATCATAGTAAAATTGATATCTAAGTAAAATATATTTAAGTTAATTTTTGGAAAAGGTTCCTTTCATTATTCTTTTTGCCCCCAGGGAGTGGAGATAAAAAATAACAAGGTCTCATTTTAATCTTCAATTCTTTTTTTAAAATAAAATTTTCATCATTTAAAAAAAACAATTGTTGTTTTCTTCTTTTGTCTTATAAAAAGGTGAAATGAAGACGATCAAATTTTAAAAAATTCGATTTTTTGTTCTATTCAAAATTTTCAGATGATCTGTTAGATAGATAGATAGATAGATAGATAGATAGATAGATAGATAGATAGATAGATAGATAGATAGTTGATTAGATAGATAAATACATGGATAGATAGATAGATAGTTGATTAGATAGATAGATAGATAGATAGATAGATAGATAGATAGATAGATAGATAGATAGATAGTTGATTAGACAGATAGATAAATACATGGATAGATAGATAGATAGTTGATTAGATAGATAGATAGATATATAGATAGATAGATAGATAGATAGATAGATAGATAGATAGATATATAGATAGATAGATAGATAGATAGATAGATAGATTTAAAATTCAGTGATGGTGATGGACCAAACCTCTGTAGAGTAAAAAAGTAGATGTTAGTTCCACATTTATTGAAAATATATTTCGCTCTGGGTTGACCCTCGTCAGTTCTTGAGATTGTTTCTTCACAAAGATTAAAAACAAAGATAGATAGATAGATAGATAGATAGATAGATAGATAGATAGATAGATAGATAGATAGATAGATAGATAGATAGATAGATAGATAGATAGATAGATAGATAGATAGATAGATAGATAGATAGATAGATAGATAGATAGATAGAGATAGATAGATAGATAGATAGATAGATAGATAGATAGATAGATAGATAGATAGATAGATAGATAGATAGATAGATAGATATAGATAGATAGATAGATAGATAGATAAGAAGATAGATAGATAAGAAGATAGATAGATACGGTGTGTGGGTCATGAACTACGTCTCCCCCAACGGAGAATGAAGCTTGAGTCTCCGTGAGTTCTCGGAGTTTTGTCGGAGAAAAAGGTTTAAAGGGTTCGTTGGTTCATTCCTCCATTCAGTTATTACCTTGATGCCGTCCGGACACCAAACTAAACACAATTCCTCCGTTTTTTGAAAAATGAATGATAACAATTTTTCGGTTTTTGTGTCAAAAAAAAGCCAATGAATAAAAAAAGATGAAATAACTTTTTCAAATCAAATCCTCTTGTGCTTCTATTCCGCGCTGTTTTTCTCCTCTGCATACTAAAATATGAGAATGTGTCTAGTTCTCAAAGAATTAGCGCGTTTTTAAAAAGTTCAGACAAAAACGTCAAAACATAATTCATTTGTTTTAACATAAAAAGTTGCCTCTAAACTAAACACTTTCCACAAACTCTAGATGTAAAATTTCTTGTTGATATTTCAAATTATAATCTCTGCTAGAGCAAGAAGGCAAGGTTTGTGATATCCAGTTGCAACGATAATGAGATTAGAAAATTAGATTTAGAGAGAATTGTTCTAATTTTTTAGAATAAAAACCTGAAAAGACCCATCTATTCTCAAAAGTAATTTTTTAAACGTCTGAATAGAATGCATCAGAATAATTCTCAATTACATAAAAATAACGTAAAAAGAAACCCCTAGCTTGAACCAATTTTTTTTATCAATTTTGTCATAAAAGTATTAGCCGACATTTTTTAAGTTGACTGAGATTCCGTTAACGAACTGAAGTTTTAAAAAGTTTACGGGAATTTCATCTAACCAACTGAAGTTTTTAAAAGTTTACAGGAATTTCATCTAACCAACTGAAGTTTTTAAAAGTTTACAGGAATTTCATCTAACCAACTGAAGTTTTTAAAAGTTTACAGGAATTTCATCTCACCAACTGAAGTTTTTAAAAGTTTACAGGAATTTCATCTGACCAACTGAAGTTTTTAAAAGTTTACAGGAATTTCATCTAACCAACTGAAGTTTTTAAAAGTTTACGGGAATTCCATCTAACGAACTGAAGTCTTGAGAAGTTGAGACGTTTACGGGAATTTCAGTAAAAAACTGAAGTTTTTTAAAGTTAACAGCAAAATT